CATAGTTTTTTCATCCTTGTATAATGAGATGAATCAGACATTTTATTTCCATAAAGTTATACTGACATAACATTTTGTTATATGAACTCCTTTTAAAGATATTCTGGTGTAATAAGTATTAGACCACAGTTCCAATCCACCCAATCCCTCTGGACCAAAGTTACATCAAAATTTAAACCAAAACAAAACAAATTTAAAGAAAAATACTATAAACAGAGCGAAATAATAAAAAAGTCAAAGTCAAATTAAAATGTAAAACTATTAAGTATCATTAAAAGAAATTGAAAGCAGGTATTTATAGCTTCCTTGAACCTCTCTTAAGGGAATAGATTCAACACCTACATGGGCTGCTTCCTACCTATAATTCAGGAGCAATGATAGAAAAAGCTTATTCCTAAACCATCTCTAGGTAAGCTGGAGGCATCCAAAATAGATGCCTGATTATCTTAATTTTGGTGATCATATAGAGAAAGGAATTGTTTCAAACAACTCAAATTTAAAGTATTTGGGATTTTAAACTAATAACTATATTTTGTCTGGAAGACAAACCCATTCCCTTAGGAGAAAAAATGTAAGAACAGATGTAGCTATCATTAGCATTTTGATAACAACCATCACCCAAACTCCTGATGACCTCATCTAGTGGTTTCACATGTGTTTAAAACAACCATTAAAATATTCACTGTAAATGCCTCCCTATGCATCAAACTCTCCGTTATGGAGAAATGAAACATGTTTGTCTGAACTATGCATAAAGAATATATTTTTTAAAAAACTAAACAATTTCTAAATATTTTTACAAGGGAGATTCTCATATATTTTAAAGACAGAAAATATGGAAATTTTGCCCGGTTTAAAGGATTAAAATTCCTGTTTCTTTTGCAGTATGATCATGCATGCTAAACACACAAATTAAACTAAGTATGAATATTGTAAACTTATTTTGGATGGAAAAAAATATAAATTGATTCTTGTTGCCAAGTAAGCTAAGAAATATCTTTTAAGTCTATTCACGCAGTGCTAGTTACACTAACCTATTTTAACTTCAAGTGATGAAGGTTTCCATAGCAGGTTTCCTGTTTTTATACAGAACTGATGTTATCAGAGCCAAAGCAGCACTTCCTTCAAGCAAAGGGAGGAATCCCAACCTGGCTTTCCTTACTTTTCATCTCAAAGTAAGTCATAGCAAACATTCTAAATATATCAGCAACTGTTAATCTGAGGAGGTATCCAAATAACCTACCCCAATATCCCAGTTGCCCTCTCTTTCTCATCATTCAATAGTGACACTATGCCACTCAGGCGGTCTTGTCGACGTTGATAGAGTTTGGAAGATGTTAGTCCCCGAAGTCTCACACCAGCCATGGTTCTTACCACTGGGAAGAAAACTGCATGAGGATAACCGAATAGCAACTCTGAAGTAGAAACTCACAAAGTTCAGGAAATGGGTTTTTCCAGTAAAACAGTCTTCTTGTATTTGCTAATTAAAAGAAGTGACGTCCATTCTTCTCATACACCACTTTTTCCTCAAGAACTTTACAGATTCCTTGCCTGCTTTCCTTCTGTCTTCAATCCATCCCATTAATAATAACGTTATGAATTCAGAATTATATTTGTTTAGAGAATATAAAACACCTTATTTCAAAATCCCCTTAACTCCCTCCCCAAAAATCACAGAAATAATATGATAAATAAATTATTAATTTAATAAATTATAAACAATATAATTGTTTATAGCCATCTCAGAAAAGATAGCTATGAGATTTTTAATAGAAGTTATTTCATCAGTAAATAACAATGATAATAATAAAAATATATCCTTTAATTTCAGCAATCCTTAACTAGTTTTGCTCTAAAAAATTTCATGTGACTAGAACAAAAAAAAATGCTAGAAAGGAGCAGAGTGGCTTTGAAACTCACTCCAAAAATCACATTTCAATATAATATCAAGAAGCACAGTAAAGAAACATATTTTACATTCCTAAACCCTCCCTGCTCCCAGTCCATAATTCTAGACTCAGAAGGTCACTGACTCATGTTGTTGCTTTCTTTACACCCACTTTGGAAAAAGTATCATGTTACACAAATTGGAATTATAACTCTGAAGTTTTAATTGTTTTGGTGATCCAGCCCTCCCTGGCCTTCTCTCCTTTATCTATTGTTCTGTTAACTTTTGCTTCCCTTATTTTAAATGAGATTTTTAACTATTTATTATTCCTTATTCTGTATGCATGCATGCATGCATGCATGCATGTATGTATGTATGTATGTATATAGTTAGTAATACTGCTACCAACAATCTTAATAGAGGTTGTTAAAATAACTCTTTGCGTGCTTGCACATTAGAGTTTAATACCTTACCTTATTCCAATTTGTTTCTGCTTATAATTATATAACT